AACAATGTTTTTCGTAAAGCACCGGCTACTGCTTCCTATCATTTGCATATAACTGCGACAAGTTTACTCTCTTATTTACTTCAACACAGAAGGTCAGAAAGAACAAAACGTCCCGCTTCTTTTGACTTAACGGTGCATCATAACCGCGTCGCTGGCTGCGTCAAGCGATCTACCTCACAGGAATGGCGGCTTCGGCAGCTGAGTTCTTCCAGGAGTAAGAGGAGATGAATTACGGATCATAAAGTCTTTGATGATGACCATAACAAACAGTGGGTTTCGTCGTCCATTAAGTAAAGAATGTGATGACTGGGAATTTCATTGCAGAAAACATCCTGGCTCACCTTATTTAATCATATAAATCAACCCTCGAAGTACCGAGTCAGCACCCTTGCAGAAAAACGAGTTTAGCACTCTGAAGAGTTCTTAGCTGGGTCACTGGTTCTGAAGCATACATAATCATCGGAAGAACGAGGAGCCGAAGAGCGTTTGATCACTGATTTGTCAGCAACAGATTTCTGCGAAGCTCGGAAATGCTTCTACAGTTAGCAGAATTTCACTGTTCAGCGCTGAGCAACAGCTGCAGTAATTTGCAAGTGATGGAGTGAAGTGTTATTCATAATCACTATAGTAAGACAACACAGCTACTTTCTGAAATAAACAATCTGCATACAAACAAGAATCAGAATCTGTGGTTTCTCTGCTTTTTATGAGCCTGTCAGGTATTTTCAATTACCCACACTTAACCAATATATTTCAACTTCCGCGTGAAAGGATCTAAAAAAACTTCGATCGTCTCCGAAGCTTGTCACTAGAGCAAGTGAGACAACTTAAACAAATAGAATAAACATGAGAGACGAAAATGCGATCTGTTGTATATGTGAAAAAGCTTGTTCCTGCATAGACTCTCGCTTCTCCCTCCCTCTCCCCAACAAAATTCCTTCATAACAGAAAAATAATAAGAGTCTATAACTATTTCTTATTATCATATTAGATAATCAGCTATCATTTAAGTGAGTGCCAATTTCAGCGTTAAGAGGAGCTTACGTTAGACGGCATGGCCGTATTTCTCGCCAGCTCTGGTATGACCACACTGGTAAACCACGATGCCCAATATGTTTGTAACTCAACGACTAGCAGCCCGATTTTTTGCCGGTTGCCCTCAAGTAATGTCGGATGAACCCCACGCTGAAGGACATTAATGATCAAGAGAAAATTTTTTATTTTTTTGGGATTCAAACCCTGTATTCTCAGACTTCAAAGCCGACTATATAACACTGTGCCACTACCCCCATGACGATGTCATCAAGAAAAGTCTACATTTACGCAAGAATTAAAGCAAATAGAAAATCGATGAGCCCGTAACAGTTGTCAAACTCTGTCAAGTGAGGAACAGGAAAGGCTGAATATACACGAAGCGATCCTACAGCGCTAACCGTGCACTTAGATATCCTAATCAACACCATAATTTTCTATCCGTTAATCCCATTTTTCTGTTTTCATTCTTATCTGACGACTATGCAGTTTTGCTTGGTGGCTGTTATACATAAAGCGTATTTTGTTATATCAATGGCTCGTATGCCTGCTGAAACGTTTCAGATGTTGTTGATGAACAAGCGTTGTTTAAGAAGTAACATTTTGATTGGATTTTATAAGACTTGAGACAATTAGTTAAGATTAAGATGAGGTGAAAGTTAAAGCTCAAATAAATCAAACGATTGATTGTAAACTAACGGGCAGCTCCAACTATGGATGAAATAACATGTTCATAAAGAAATAATAATCAGCGGATGCCGTCTGAGCTATTAATGAATTTCAACGACAAGCAAAACCAACTCGTTAAAATCACCTGACAAAAGTCGATCGTTTTCTCGGACACGACGAAATAACCTTTATCATTTGAGCATCGGAAAAGGCGGCTGTATCGCATGAAATTCGCATCTGTGTCGTATTTCTTTTTGCCACCA